CGGTCTATGCGCAGCAGCAATCGCAGCAGATGCAGCCCCCGCCGTCGCACCAACAGCAGCTCCAGCAACAGCAGCTCCAGCAACAGCAGCATCATCAACACCAGATGCAGCAGCACCTTCAGCATCAGCAGCAACAGCAACAGCAGCATCAGCAGCATCAGCAGCACCTCGCACAACACCATCAGCAGCAACCGACTCATCCACATCAGCATCAGCCTCAGACCTCGGTCGTCTACGCTGGCGGACATCCTCCTGCGGCCTCGGTGAATCCACCCGTACACATGGCAAACCCTGCCGCTGGCTCGTCCGCTTATCACCCTACCATGCAGCAGCATCAGGCACAGATGGCCAGAATCGCACAGGCGTCTCAGCCACAGCTCGCCAACGCACAGCAGCAACAACAGCGTCCACCCCAAGGCTCTGGACTCACGCCGCAACAGCACCAACACCAGCTCCAACACCAGCAGCAGATGCAGCTCATGCAGCAGCAGCAGCAGCAACAACAACAAATGCAAACGCCGCAGCAACAGCAACACGCCGCTCAGCACCAACACCAGCAAGTCATGTTGCATCAGCAGCAGCGCCAGCAACAGCAACAACTCCATCATCCTCATCAGCATCCCGCACAGCCCCAAACACCGCAGCCTCAGCAGCTTCAGCAGCAGCAGCAGCCGCAGCAGCCGCAGCAGCACATGCCCAGTCACTCGCAGGTCACGCTGCAATCCCATCCTCAGGCGCAACAGGCTCAGCAGGCTCAGCAGGCTCAGCAGGCTCAACAGGCTCAGCAACAGCAAGCGTCCCTAGCCGCACCCTCGCTGCATCGTCAAAACTCGCTGCCGCCATCTGCACAGGGACATCACAGCAACAACAACTCGCAGCCCGCCACCGCCAACAACTCGCCTCTTCCCTCGGCACTCGCTCATCGGGCCGCGCAGCCTGGACCGCATCGTACGCCGACGCCCATATCGCATGCCGCTCATCCAATGCAGTCCACCGCCTCGGCCGCCTCGGCTCCTCCCAACGCCGCCTCCTCCATGCCCAGCCCTCAGGTCAACGCTCCCATGCCCCTGCGTCAGGCTTCTGTGCCGCTCAATCACCCAGGCCCTCCCACTCCCACGCACACCCGCCCTCCCTCGGCTGCACCCACGCCCGCACTCCAGTCCGCCAATCCACCGGCCTCGGCCATGCCCATGCCACGACCCAGCAGCACTTCGCCCAACGCAAGCCAGATGCCCCACAAACCTGCCGCTCAAGCCTTCGCTACGCCTGTCGCGGCAGGCGCC